TCATTAGGCCGTTGTGAGAATCAAAATGTAAAAAGCTTGAGTATAACCAACAACACTTTCAAGCCCATATGATGGGTGATATAAAGGTAAGGTTTCATACAGAGGATCCTGTTTTCTTCAGGAAAGTAGAGGTTAGGAACTAGATGAAAAACTCACAGCCATTTCCATATTAAGTGCTATTCACCCTGCACCTCACTGGCCTCTCTGAGTCTCTCTCCTTCTGTTAAATTTTTGTAGAGCCTCTGACTCCCACAGATGTATGTGTACCAACAGCTCTACTACTTTTCCATAAAGCCTTGAGCTAGTGACTTTAGTTCTCTGAGCCTCCATATTTCATCTATAAAACGCAGATAAACCCTACTTCAGAAAGGTCGCCATAAGGTTGAAATGAAATATTACCTATAATGTACTAACCACGATTTCTAGTGCACTGTAGGCGTTCAATAAAGATACGCTGAACTGATACTGAAAATGAGATGAAGTTATGAGCACAAATATTTTTACACTCCCTCTTCGGGCACATGAAATATTTCAGCACTTTTATGTCAACACTCCACAGTTAAAATTCTTCACAGAAATATTCCTCCTGTATGGGCGGCAGCGCTGGAAATGATTCCTTAATGATCTAGGCTTCCCTGTTCCATCAAGCCGGAGGCATGGACAGCACAGCATGTATCGGGGAGCCAAACCACGTTTTTAAGCATTATCTATTACACTAGGGATTAATTTCAAACTCTTATCAAGTAAGGACATCCAAATGTTGCGGAAAATGCTTCAAGATTTTGGCAAAATTTCCTTATGGATGGAAAATGGATGCATGTCTAGAAAGGAAGGAAAATTAAGGAAAAGGGCAGGAAGAGATAACATCTATGTCAGTTCCTGCCACGCCCTCTATGTGCATTCTTTCATTTCTTTCTCAAAGCAACCCACACTGAAGATAGCCCTCTGGAGTTGCTAGACACATCGAATCAACACACTGGGTTTAGATATTCAAATTTACTTCTTTGTGGCAGTTGAGAATAAAAGCTTTTCAGCATTCTGAGACCATCACTCTGGTTCTTCCCAAATTACCAACAAGGCACTGGGCTTGGAGAGGTTAAGCCAATCACCCAAGACCGTATGTTTCACGAGGGTGGACCATGGATGCAAAGCTAGCCTGCCTTACTACCAATTTTAACTCACAGAGAACTATTGGGTTGTCGGAAGAGTCATGACACATTTTTGCAACGGAAAACAGAGAAAAAATACGTCATGACTTTTCTGACAATCCAATAGAATAAATGCTACAGAACAGATGCTCTAGATAGACTGATAAACTAGAATTTCAGTTTCACTGATCAGTAAACTTTGGCTTTACTGATTTTATAACTATGTAAGTTTAACCAAGTATCTACACAAATCTCCTTGGTTCTAACACCCTGGGTGACATTGGCAGATGAGGTATTATCCATGAGATGAGAAACTTGAGACCCAGAGTGGGTAGGTGACTTGTCCCCAGTGACACAGGCTACTAAGTGGCGAAGCTCAGACTTGTCCCTAAGCAATTCCACCATACTCTGCCATCTCTCTTCAAGCTGGAATAGTTATAGCCCCTATATTTGCTCCAAGAAATCAGCATCATCTATGTGACAAATAAACTCTGCTTTTCACAATGCACGCGCCAGGCACTTGGTTATCATCCCAAGAGGTAGATATTATCCTTTTTCTTAATCACATAAGGAAATTCAGGTTTAGGGAGGGAAGTTACTTCAAGCATCCTAAGGAATACAGCTAAAAATGGCAGAGTCAAATGCAAGCTTGGGTTTGGCTCCAAAGGCTGCACATGTGGTCATTACCTGGAACTGCCGCTTACTCTCAGCTTCCTCCCTCCCCCAGGTGAGTGATCCCAGTCCCAACATCTGTCAGGTGTGAGTGAGGTATCGGCGTCTGGCTCGAACATCCCTTATTAGATGACTCCAATGCAACACGCATCTAATATCGTCACTTCCTAGCATTCACTAAACTGAGAGCCTCAAGGCTTGGTTTTCTCCCTACTCTACCCATCACCAATTAGGGCGCCCTGGGCAGGGTATTCAACTAACTCCTCTCCAAAATGGGGGAGAAGACTGCGAATCAGCCTGAAAGCAGGAGCAGGCCTTGATGTTCTGGGTATTCTTCTACGGGTAAGATATCGCAGACAAGATTGGTACCATTTTGTTCAAGCTGAATTTTCTAACCACAAATACATCCATATTCATAATATAAGATCCAAATATAAGCTAAAGCAAAAGACCAATGAGTCAATAAACTCTCTCCCTTCCCTGCCACTGAACTAAGTGAAAGGTATCAGTAACGGGTTAGAGTGAAGGAAAACTGTCAAAACTGTCCTGAATAATTATTACTGTCTGGTGGGATTTAATATCGATTTCAAAAGTTCTCTATAGACATGGGTCTTATTTAGAGACTCCTACCTCCAAGCACAGCAGAACGAATTTTCACACAGACATGGCTCAGTGTATCAAAATAAGCCTTGGATACACAAAAACAAAAAGAACTTGGACTCTAATCAGCATTAATGCCCTCTTCCCACTCCCATTCCATCCCCCCACCCCAACCCCCAACAGGGTAAGCAGCCAGGAATAAAAACAACAAATTTCTTTTGGGAAAGGTATAAATGGAGTTAGATACACTAGACTTCTTAGTTAAGACTGGAATGTAAACAGTTATTTAATAAATATAAAATGCATATAACCATACTTCAATTTCACATTAATTGAAAAGAGATAGGCCTGTATGGAAAAAAAAAATTTTTTTAAAGAGGTAGTGATAAGAACACCCAAGACCAGAGTTTAGTAACCTATTTGAAAATTACCCTCATACAGTAAAAAGCAAGTCTTAACATTCCATAAACCTCTTTGTGAATTTCGCAAAACAAACTCTTTACTCAGAAACACACATGCATAAAGTTTGGCCTGTACTTTCTCAGGATGCAGACCCCAGAAGGTGGATTCCTGGGCCCCTTGGTGAGAATCCTAGAAGTGGGCGGAGCTCTGGACAGCCTCTTAGGAGACTTGGCATCCATTTCCGGCCCTGCCATCTTGTCACCCCGATCCAGTCACTTTACCTCTCCAGGTTTCAGCTTTCTCATCTGTCAAAGGTGACCTTTCCTGACTCTTTATGGTTCGAAGTCTGGCAAAGCTACTGATTAATATCACAGCAAGACTGAGGGATTTAGTAAAATCACCCCCTTACCTTTTTTAAATTGCTAATATGACTCAGAGCACTTTTTCTCCGTTGCAGAACAGTCACGGCCAGAAGAATTCAAGTTCAGGGTGAGATGGGCAGCTAGGTGCTCTTACTCTCCTCTCACAGTCCTCTACTTGAGGACTTCTCAAGCTGGCTTTCCCTTCCTCATTTCCCTTCAAAATGAGATAAGTGGCTTTCCCCCATGTAACAGAGGTAGTGCTGTGAAGCAAGCCAAAAGCTCTTCTCCAAGAACAAACACACTCCAGTTTCCTTCAAGCTGAGCTGCAATAAGTCTTGTGACATCGCACCCAGCACAGAATGGAGCTGTTGTAATCACTCCATTTCCCCATTTGGATGGCAATCCTTCACCAGCTCTGCTTCCCAGCAGAAACTCGGAGCTCGAAGATTACATTTAGAGGAACTGCATTTGAACTGCGGGAGTTACACTGAGTTAATTGTTTCAAGCGCTGGAACAAGGCCTGTCTTCCTAAGTCGTGAGGCAAAGAGCGGAGGGAATCCAATCACTGGCCAGATGGGAAGTACGAAGGAATGGAAGCTATCGCTCCCTGGAAAACTGTCATAAGAGAGCTCAAGTGTCCGAAGCTCATTTGAGATGAACACCCCCTTCCACTGTCACTGGATCTGCAGAACCCGTCAGAAAGTTTTCTGCCAACAACCTTCTGTCTGGCTTGACTGGGAAAGTTATAAGCTTGGCAGGTAAAGCAAAAACACAAAAAAACAAAACCAAAAACCTGTTTATATAACAGTACTTAAGTAGCATTACATTTTGAGATCTCGTCTTATCCTTTGCAGGCTACCCCACACACACACAGCTAAAAATGGTAAAAAATAAACTGCAACTTAAGTCCGACATGAGCAAAATAGCTGAGAACTTGGGAATTCCGACTTAATTTATAAGGGTCCCTCAATTGCTAAAGAACATAGATCCAATGGGGTTTATTCTTGTTCAGATTACGTGATGGAAAACTTGACGATGATCACAAAACAATAAAAAAATATATTAAATGAGAGGAAAAACTATACTTGAAATTTTCTGCCTTTTATAAACAGTCCAGTGGAAAATAATGTTCCCTGTTTTAACGCATTTATTTCTCTATTTACACAAGAAAAAAGAATTCCTCAAATGTTTTGACTAACAGCCTTCCTTCAAAGGACTCTATGAAGAGTCAGAATGTATAACAATTGAACCTGCAGACAGGATTTCCTACTGCGCATTTCCAGGACAACTCAGTTGCTTTTCACTGCTACTCATAGAAAAAGACCATGGCTCTTGACTTTATTCACAGAAATTATATTCAAACCAAATCGCAGTGGCTCAGTGTATTTTCTGCATGCAATTATTATATTAAAGTATTCATTTTTCATTAACCCTTTCAAGTCTTGAAGGCCAACCAGGAAAAAAAAAATGCATGGCGCGAAAAAACTGTTTCCTCTTGCACGGACCTGGGATACACTGGATACGTGGCAATGGCATGCTACCCCCACAAACCACACTTATTCGGAGTTTTCAGTAACACAGAAGAGGCAAGAAGCAGTGAGGGCAGGGAGGCAGAGGAGAGAAGAAACGGTGATATGACTTACGTCTGTCTGTCACTCTCAGGCACGACGGGGTTAGCAGGAGCAGGCTTACCATCGTCCAGGCAGGAGTTGAGGTTTTAATTTGTGGCAAACTCGCGCTGAGATGCCAAGTGGGCAGGGAATGTGAATCGGGGTGGGGCTGGTGGGGAGAGGAGGGAAAAGGAAGGAGCACTCACGCAGTTAGAAGCTGGTGCAGCTTGTGATAACCCCGCTCCAAGGCCAAGCTGATAGGGGTCGCCCCTTCCTGGTTGTGGATGCTGAGAGCTCCGCGGCCACCTGGCTTCTGCAACAGGAACCACGCCAACCTCAGCAGGCCCAGCCGCACAGCAAAATGCATCAATGTCTCCCGGGGGCCACCATCTGTAGACAGAGCAGGAAATAAAAAGAAGTGAGAGGAGAATGTATAAACAGAAAGCAAACCAACAAAAAGGCAAAGCAGGTAAACACCACTGCCTCCGAGGGCCTCGGATCCTAAAGTTACGCTACAACATACAACAGGAACAATTTTACTGTGGCCGGGGAGAAACAGCTCTCAAGTAAAAACAAAATAAACAAGTACGAGAAGCAAAAGCTCCAATAGGAGAATGTCGCACAAGAAAATCAAACCATTTCTGTATTCTGATTTAATGCATTTATTTGTTCAACGACTTAATGAAGGCAGATTTGCAAGGGTGACCCCACACATTAAAAAAAAAAAATAGGTAGATGTGGCCTCCCAACATGGGGCTCCAAGGCGAGAAGCTGTCGGAGCTTAGAGCTTAGATGGGTGTATCACACAGGGTATAATTACTTTAAAAAAAATAATACCCAGACAGGAGCTGGCTAGTTAAACAGTAAAAACAGGTTCTGCTTGTTAAGTACACTCAAGTCTTTTTATTCTCCCATATTAAGGGCAAATCAAACTGCTGGCACTGCCAGCTCTTTTTTTTTTTTTTTCTTTTGGTTTGTTTAATGAAAGAAAGAAATGCATCTCCAGGCATAAGAAGAAAGACTAATTCTAAGATAATATACAAATTAACTTCGGAAGAAAAACACGTCTGGGGGCTTAGGACAGGGAGGCTCTGGTGTAGGGGGTCCCTCAGAGAGTGGTGAAGCGAGGAAGGGCTTTGGCGTCAGACAAATGTGGGTTCCAGTGTGGCATCTGCCATCTGTGTGACCGGGCATAACCCATTCAACCTGTCTGAGCTTCAACGTCTGCCTCCCTCGAGTGGGGTGCCGTCGCCTCGCTCCCAGGGTTGCAGTAACGAATGGGCGGAGGTAGGTAAAATGCGAGTATGATGACCGGCTGCGGCAGATACTAAGTGCCAGGTACCTTCCCATTCCCTGCTCTGTTCTCTGTAATTACATTCCAAGTTCGCTAGCAACACTCTCTCTTCCTCAGGCATCCTTCTGTGCCAACCTGTGATGGTGGGAGCTAAGGCAGCTGCAGGGCCGCGCGGTGCACGGCCCCTAGGCTGTCCATCACTCAGCTCCAGGAAGCACCACTCAGAGGCTGGCATGGGAATGGTGCCCTGGACTGCTGCCTTGCTTCCCTCCTCTCGGGCTTAGCCGACCTCTCTCATTCTCCCCGGCTTCCGTCAACTTCCTCACTGAGCATTCGCAGACGTCTGGGACCCCGGTGTTTTCCCCTCACATCGAAGTCCTCGATGCTTCTCTATGTGAACACCCAGTAAGGATGGACACGTCTTTGAACCTGTGCTTTCACATCCAGCTGCACTGTTTTCTAATGTCACGTGTATGCTAGTCTAGTCTGCCTACTGCCAAGGTAAATTTCCTTGGAAGCAAGTGCTACCTTTCAGATTGTATTTTCCCTACAGAACTATGCACACTGACTGCAGGACGTATAGGATGGTTCAGCAGAGGCACAGGGCTGGAAAGAAATCAACACCCAGAAAAAACCAACTACATCAGGAGGTACAAATTTTAATAATCAATACCTCAGAGCAGGTGGCAAGGCCAGACCAAAGGACGGAAAGACACTTCAGAAAAGATCAAATTTCCCATCGGACTTGTGCCTTACAGTGGGTTCACAAGCCCTCTGGCATCCTTATCAAAAACAAAAAACCTAGTAAGCCAATGACCACTGACCAGGAACTGTGTGATTTGTTTCAGACACTGGTTAATTCCGGCCTTAGAGGTGACACCTTCCTGAAATATTGTTCTCTACGCCCCCATCCTGTGATCCTTAATTTGCTCTGAGTCAGCCCAGCATTTAAGAGCAGAGGTCCAACAAGGCCATACATCTGCTCAGAGCTGGCACCCCAATCCCGGCACCGATATCCTCCCCAAATCTCATCCTAAGGTCATTGGCAGCAGCAGGTGCCACATCTGCTTTTAGGTCACCCTCTTTCAGCAATCAAATGACAAGAAAAGTAATACTGCTAAGTGCCACGTCATGGGCTAAATAGCTTGTATTAACTTTTTTCATTCTCAAAATAACCCCTATGAGCTCTAATTATCTCATTTTGCAGACAAAGACAGGTTAATAATTTGACCACAGCAAGAGTCAGCAAGATTTGAAAATTCTTCTGTCTTGAGTCTAGAAACCATGCCCTCTCCATTACTCCACCCCTGTCTCTTTTTGTAAAAATCAAGCAATCAAGCACTCATACAAGCAAGGTCATGTGTGGTTTAAAAGCATCTTTTCATATGTTTTCCTCCAATAATAAAACCAATTTTATCCACTATATCTTCCATTATTGCTGTTGTTCCTTTTGCATCAGTTTCAACTCCAGAGCACCTAGAATTCAGATTTTAGGATCCATCTCTGTTCTCTACTCTCTATATCTGTATCCCCCCCCCCTCATGATCCTTTGTCTTTTTCCTCTGTATTCTGAGAGTTACTCAACTGTGTTTTCCAGATTGCTAAGTGAATTTCCTATGATGTCAATTGGGTCCTTTGTCCCCTGTTTGAATTCAATTAAGCGCCAGGATTCTGGATGTCCTTGCTTCATTTCAGCCGGCTCCCGTTCCATCTTTGCCCTCCCTGTGATGGCTTTTTTGCAGATGTAATTAAAGCCCCTAATCAGTTGATTTAATAAGGAAGATTATCCTGCATAATCAGGGTAGGCCTGAACCAGTTGGAAGGCTTTAAAAGCAGGGCTGAGGTTTCCCCTGGAGAGAAAAGAAACCCCGACAGTGGGGGATGGCTCTGGGTGTCCTCGAAGGGTTCCATCCTGCTAAGGGTCCCCACGTCCTCCTGTCTGAGGACGGCTGTGGCTCATGCTGGTGGGTCTGAGCTTGCCCCTGCCTTCTAATCTTGCGCTACACATTTTGGACTTGCTTAGTGAGCCCCCACAATCATGTAATAAATTACACGCCATGCCCTGTAATAAATCTTAGTACATCTTTCTTCTTCCCACTGGTTGATTCTCTGGTTGAAACCTGATTGACATAGTCATTAAATCTATTTTTCTCCTTGTTGCTTCCTTCTCTAATTTCATAATAGGCCTGCCTTCTTCGATCTTTTAGAGAATGGAAAACCTCTTATAAGTTTTTCTTTGGTAGCTTAAAGAAAACGATACTCAGAGGGTCTTCCATCTGCACACTCATGATACATTTCCACTTCCTTTATGCTGTAATGCCATTTTGGAGGCTGTATGTTGGCTGGTTGCTTTTCCTGTTTACCCAGAGTCAATTGGAAAAATCTCTATGCAAGTCCAGCTTCTACCCACAATGAAGGTAGTAGAAAATGTCTTAGGTCCTGCTTGCTATCTGCTTATATGCTGGAAGCCCCTACATACACAGTCCCCCAGATCTGCCGAGAAAGCCGATGTGCCCATAAGCATTCAGCCATGACGAGTGTGCTAGGGGGGCTGCATCTTTTCCAAATTGTCAGATTTTCTGACAAAGCAAAATATTCTAAGTTCTATGAACAATATCGTAATCAAAGATTTTGTGTACCTTTCCTACCCCATCAAACTACTTGGAGGCCCTGCTCACAGTACTTTTTGAATCTGTATCTGTGCGAGTCCCAAATCACTCTTCTTTCTCCTATTCTGTACTGCCTTTCAGATAAACCTGAAGTCCCATATGAGGCATGCATTTTCACAACGCATGGGGAAGGACGGCAACAGGCCGGGGTGACGTGGGCTTTTGGGAAAAGGACACTTGTAACCTTGTGACACAATCCAGGTCGGAAAGGCAACAAGACCTTGCAGAGCTCAAGTTCTGCCATTATTAGCAACTGCTTGTCTTGGAATCAATAGATAGTAATCCCCTGCGAAGAAAAAATAATCCCCTATCGGTCCTTACAGTTTATTGTTTTTTAGCAGCTTGACAGCTCAAAAAAATACACAAATACTAGTGAGTGTAGCTATGGAAAAATGTCCACGAAAAGCGATCAACAACCTAGGAGCGGTGTGAAAACTAAAACCGCAAATAATTATGGCTGAGGTTCTAGTAACCCACATCACACACAGAACTGACAACGCACAGGCTGCTTTTAGCTTCAACAGGTCTTCTGCTCTCCACCTAAATTTCTGTTGGTGGGGAGAACTCCCACCCCCAGGGATGACTTGCGCTTCTCTTAGTTACACAATCCCATCGCTGAAGAAAAATGAGGAGTTCATCTTGCTTTCAGAGCCAGCCTTCAAAGGGCCCAGCCTGTCACCTAGAGGCATGCTGACTGGTTGCTACTCTATGTGGTTCTTTCAGGAGAAAACCCATCTTAATTCAGTTTTCCATAACCACTGACACACTGAAGAGCTGAGACCACTACGTGAGAGTGGGGAAGACACCCCAAGTCAGAGGGAAGGTATCCTTATCCCACCACTCACCCTCCACACCCAGATGAATCCTAATTACTTGCATTTAAGGCAGAACTAAGGCCAAAAGCGAAGAGGCCGTTTTATGTAACTGGAGATTAAAGCACACTTGGAAGAACGAAAATGGACAAACTCCCTCTCGCTCATGTTTAAAGTGAGGATTAACTTCAGAAATAAGTTAAAGCAAAAGAAAAACAAGTCTCTCTCATTCTGCTTCGAAGTGCCTTTCCTTTTTGTGCTGTCCTGTTTTATCCTTTCGTCAGATGTGTTACTTTACCTCGTCATGGCTCATCAAAGCTTTGCCTCTAAAAGGTTGCTGCGTAGTGGTCCTGGCGTACTCAAAATGTAAAGCTTACCAATGAGCACACACACACAATCCAAATACGTTTTCCTCCATTTTACAGATGAAGAAATTGATTAAATGCTTTGCACAAACTCTTGCAATGAAGCCAGTATATAAACAAACAGACTCCCCTGCTTATGTTCTTTCCATTTTAAAATATAAAATCTAAACCAGGACTTTTAGGCTTTATGTTCATGCCTGGAGCTAGAGGGAGCCTAGGAATCCCTGAAATTATATGTAAATTTTTGCAGGTGGACACCTATATGTATTATATTTTTTCCTGAGAAGAAATCTGAGCTATTTGCAAAGGAGCCATTGACCTAAAAAAGTGAAAAAGCACTGCACCCAAACAATGAAGAGAGGATTAACCACCCATTTTACCTGACCCCTTTTTACAAGTATTAGGCTGGAACACCTGTAAACATCCTAGCTTTTCACAGCAAGCTGTTATGTAAGAAGCTGCCCTATTTACCTGTATTATTACCTCAGGCAATAAGCTTACTTCATACATTCTTTCTTTAAATGCCTTTTAAAAGCATGTGATGTACAACACGATGTGAGCCGAGTATTCCTCTACATTCTTCCCTCACCAGCAAGCAAGCGCCTCTTAACTGAAGCGACTCTGCCCTTAAAATACCCAGGGTCCATAGATTCCAACCCATGAGGAACAGAACAGTTAGAACTGCAGGATCTAGCGCTTGAAATCCGAATCCTGATCCCGGGTGTGGACTTTAAGGCAGGTCTATCAAGTTCCTTGCATTTCAGCTCGCAGAACACACATGTAACTTGTTCAATTTCTTTTGTTCCTTTAGTTATTTTTAATATAGGTACAAAAAATTCACTTTTGGGGGGTATACACCCTATGAGTTAGAACAGGGGTCGGCAAACTGCAGCTCGCAAGCCACTTGCGGCTCTTTGGGTACGTTCCGTCTCAAAAGTCGGCCGATCCCTGGAAGAGCCAATCCCATCCTTCACAACAATTTAAAACTATTCGAGAGCTGTAACTATATTTTTATATAATCACTATTATGTGAATAATACCCTTTAAACATTTTATAAATGGGGCCAGCCGAGTGGCTCAGTTGGTTAAGAGCTCGCTCAAGAGTTTGAGCTCTGAGCAACAGCAGTTCGATGCCCGGCCCGAGCTGAGCAGCCGCTGAGCTGCCAACAGGTGGCAGGATGGCTCAGCTTAAAAAAAAAAAAATTATAAATGGAACTATGATAGTTTTATTTTAATTTTCAATTTTACTTCAGAGCCACATGTATGTACCCAAAGAGCCGCATGTGGCTCGCGAGCCGCAGTTTGCTGACCCTGGCAGCTACTGACCTCGTTTCTATTCCTATAATTTGGCCCTTTTCAGAGTATCATATAAATGAAATAATACAGTAAATGCCCTCTGGAAACTGACTACTGTTACTGAGCGCAATGCACTTGAGATACATCCAGGTTGATGCATGTGTCAAAGTGTGTTCCTTTTTTCGTTACTGAGTAGTACTCCATTGTGTGGACGTACCATAGCTTGTGTATATTTTCACCCACTGAGAGGGACCTGGGTTGTTTCCAGTTTTCAATGATTGTAAATAAGGCTGCTTTAGGCATATTTGTGCAACCATTTTTTGAGTGAATATAAGCTTTCATTTCTCTAGGATGAACAGTCAGGCGTGGGACTGCTGGGTGAAACAGTAAATGCACACTTAGGAATGCATTAAGCTCTAAGAAGCCGCTACACTGTCCTCTAAGTGGTGATACCATTCTGCGCTCCCACCAGCTGGGTCCGAGATGCCGCTCTGCATCCTTGCCAGAACTTGGTATTTTTAATTTCAGCTTTTCTAAGAGGTGCGTAATGGTACCTGATGGAGATTTTTAATGCATTTCCCTAAAAATTAAATTCGATGCAGCCTTCGCTAGTGCTGTTTGACCAACTTCGTACAACAGAAACTGAAGAAGCACATGGAAAGTCCACAAATATATTAAAGCTGACCAGTTCCCTATTAAGGACAAGGAAGCTAAGGCCCAGAGAAGGGGAAGTTTATGCCTGAGGTTTCAGATCTGGGCTTTTTCTTAACACAGCTGACCCTTGAACAATGCGGGGGGTTGGGGGCACCCACCCGCGCAGTCTAAAACCTGCACATGACTGAAGTCAGCCCTCTGCATACATGGATTCCCAACCGTGGAGGAAAAACAAGCGTGTTAAGTAGACCTGTGCAGTTCGAAACCGTGTTGTTCAAGGGCCGACTGTATTTCTTTTTCATCATGGGAACATGAACAAACTACCCAATTCCTGTGCCTTCTTTAAATAAGACAAAACAAGACCATAAAAACACCATAAGCCCACAAATGACTAACGCAATCCATCTTGATGCTGATTTATAAATGACAACCACAATAACCGTTCCCACACCGATACAGGCCGTGGGGCTGGAGGCATTCAGCCCCAGCGTTAGGTTTCTGAAAAGGCCCTATGTATTATAACAGCAAACGCTCTGGTCTCTAGGTCTCAGCAATGCAGAGGGTTCCTGGGCACTACATCAGTAAGACATAGAAAAGGAGAAACGCTTTCTTCCCTGGCTTGATTTTCGAGTCTGCACTTTCTTTAATCTCTACTTGGGCAGGGTGCCCTGGTAGCATGTTGACGCGAAGGCCCTGATGGTAGGAGGCAGCATTCGGGCAGCTGGGCACAGGCTCACCTGCTACACTTGGTGGATTTAAGAGAGCCAAAGCTGGCCCATACTCCACCATTCTTCCAGGGGCGGAACAATACGTTTATTTGATGGGTTTGGGGGAATGGGAACTGGGCAGGCCCCTGGCTCGGTCCCCTCTGGATCTGCAGAGATCCCCTCCAGATCTGCAGAGAGGGTGACTTCTGGTCTGCTCTTCCAACAGGACACAGTAATTAATCAGAGCTGGGTGGACGCTGGTTGTCCAGGTTTCTCAGAGATAAAGTAGAAAGGACAAGCAAACCCTTCGGGCAGGAGAGCTAACGTCAGCCTTCCAGCCTAGCTCTCATCAGTAACAAAGCAAACGTTTTCATCTCTAGCTGGGTAACTCCTAAACCTTTCAATCGGATTTGAACTCAGGAGGAAAAAAGGGTGTTATTTATTGGAAACCAGGTATATATTGTTTCATTTAAACATATACCGGGGGTGCCAAACAAGTGTATACAAGTGGACACTTTGGTCACCGTTGCTCAAGCAGTAGTTTGCCGTCATCAGAAGGGTCTGGACGCTGATGGGAACCACTATGAGCACCTCTTGTAACTACAGAAGTCAAACGTGACTTGTATTCATCTTTTGTTATCAGTATATATTGAGTATTACAATTTTAATAGATTTTCCTTTCTTAAAGTGTGTATACTTATTATTTTTTTTTGGCACTCTCTGTATATAAAACCATGACAGCGACTAGAAATCATCTGCCACAAGAATAATTACGCAGGGAAAGCCCCTGCCTGAGTAAGAGGAACATATATAGATACTCACTTCATCAGTGGTTTTTTTTTTTTTTTTATTTATCATCAGTGTTTTTAAAAAAGTGGAGCCCTCCCTTCAACGCACTGTCATATGGGAAGCCAGCAGATACATTAAGAGTGAAAATACTCTGGTTAAACAAGTGTGGGGTTTCTCTGAGCTCCGCTTGCTCTCATGCTCCCCTCACCCGCCGCCTAACTTTCCTTTCCTCCAACTCCATGGAATTTCTAGACAGCTTCGGAATACCGCGATGGAAACCATGTGTTTGACAATTAAACACCAAAAAAGTACAAAAAGTTACTCCGCTACTGGAAGAAGAATGGATCACTTCCTGTACTTGAGTTCAAGGGCGAAAGCCAGACCCACAGAAAGGTGCTACGCCCCTCTCTACTTTCAATGAGAAGTGAGAATGGCTATGGCAGCTCGCTCCTGGGTCTGACGGCTCAGCTGAAGAACCTAAAAGAGAAACCATCAAGGGCACTTTACTACTGTTAACTGTGAGGTTTATTCAGCTACCTCGAAGATGTGAAGACAGCAGGAAGAAAGGAACCTCAGCATCTGTTTGGGGGTCATTTACATTCTCACCATGCAAAGTCTGCTCTGTCCCCAACACATTCCACTCTGCCGGCAGCTTGAGGTGTCTGAACGCCAGGGCAACCTTCTCGTCCAGGGAGTTCACATCTGTAGATGGGGGTCCGGACCGGTCCAGGAAGCGGGTGAAGTTCAGAGCCTGCTGGTTCCCGGCACAGGTTGCCAGGAACTGGGCCGCATCGTAAGCCTCATCCTGGACAAACTCAAAGTCTTCCTCGGCCACCACAAACACGGGGAGGCCCTCTTTGGACGCACAGAGCAGCACCTTCACGGTCTCGCAGCAGTTGTGACCTGGAGAAACAAGCAGCAAAAAAAGACAGCGTTAGAGTTGAGTCCTCCGGCCGAAAGGAGAACACCTGTGGGTCCTCTCTGCTCTTTTTGCATGATGTGCAAGTTCCCCTCCCTAAAAAAAAAACCTTCCTTCCTCTGAGCAACCTACCAAAGGTCTTCAAACGCCATTTCTAGTTCTTCTTTAATTGTTATTTGCAGATATGAAGTAGCTCCCTGACCAAACAGCGGGCAACTGTGTATCCCGGTTGCCACCATACCTGCACACTGTGTTTAGCATAGAACTGTCTCTGAATGTCTCAATGTGTACTGAACAACAGCTGTTCGGTTTGAACAAAGTAAAAAGAATGAAAGCGCAAGGATCCTGTAAGGCCTGGCACACAGCACAAGTCTAATACCCACTGAACTGAATTAGATCTGAAAACTCAACAGAGAAACAGGCTCTCAAAAGGTTATATGGGAGGAATTTTACAGATCTCCAGATATTTGCCTTATAATCACCACAATACAATCGATCAAATGATGAGGCACTTCGAAAAGTACGCAACTACCTGATTTTATTTTACTGTTCTTAGCAATTCAAGGCCCAGAAAATAACTTTTGCTCTCGGATACACCTTCTTTCCTATAAGGTCATGAGGACTTCAGTGAAATCGCCTGATTTACACAGGGATGATGCATTGTGGCTAGAAACCCAGTTCAGGAAAAGGAGGCGTGCCAATGCCAGTGGTGCCCACGGTGAGGACCAGCAGAGACACCTACACCAGTCACCCCAAAGAGCTCCGTTTGAGTAAAACCAGAAACGCCTGACAACGCTGCTTCCGTGGGGAAGGCCTTCTTGGAGAAGCAGACTTTCTAGATTTTTAGCCTCGGAAGTTAGTATTTCCAATGTGCTCAATATAGTATTCATCGAAACACAGTTTTGCCTCAACTTCCAAACACTGATCTCAACTAGAACTCCTAACATCATCATTCTTCTTCCATAAGCTATCTTCCTAATGAGAAAACAAAAGATGGAGCTGATGCTGTGTTGCCCGGCCTGATTGACACAGGTACCCATGTGGCCACGGCTCCCCTGAGCCCATCCGCTCACAGACACTACACAGAGTGAGGGCAGGGGACCCTGTGTGTCCATGACCTTGGCTTTCTATACCATCGGCACTGGCCAATAGCGGTTTCAGACGTGGACAGAACAAACTAAGCTTTCGGCTGTCTTGCCAAGAGAAAACAATATAATTTTTTCACCATGTGACCAACGAAAACATTAAGTAAATTGGTTTTCCACATAATTTTTCCCCAGGGGCCTCCTTAAGCCCTTTACCTTTGTGACAAAAGCAATCTCACTGCTGTGTAATTTTAGGGTGGTGACAAGTATTTACTAACCAAGTACCTTCTACATACCAGGCATTTTCTCTACACAGCAAACTTATGAGGTCTGTATTGTCCGCATATTACGGATGAGAAAACTGAGACTTCAAGGTTACACAGCTATAAAGCAGCAGAACCCATGATTCAAATTCAAGTCTGATGCCCAAGGACACGGCCTATTTTATGGTGATGCAATAGTTCTGCAGCACACTGCTTATAAACAAAGGAGAGCTGCGTTCCTCCTGCCTGAAAGGAGCTTAATGCTTGGAATGAGAGGCCAGGGTGATGATTAGGCAAGAATAACAGGTTCATGAACCACCGAGTTGAGTCTGCATATCACACAACTCAACCAGATACTCCCATTGCCTTCAGGTTGAATTCTTTCTATGAAAGCTGGAGGAAACCGAAGCATCCTCTGCGTGCGTGCGTGTGTGCATGTGCGTACAAACTCACGTACGCATTTCAACTCAGTATATACTTTGAATTTATATACTATTAATATATGAAATGAAATTTTTAAAAAATCGTCTTTCTTTGAAGGGCAGCCAGCCTAATGACACAAGACAACGATGTCAGCGGAAACAAGTCAACTGATTCAGTTAGTAGGCTTGGGTATTTTTCTGGCAGAAAGCGAGTGTTTCTTTTCAACTATTCCACAACACGTAACAACAGCTGGACATCCACCAAGTCCTGGGAACTGTGATTAGACGGTAAAGCTGAGTAAGACTCTCAGCCCTACAGAGGTTTAGTCTATGAGGGGGAACCAAACAAGTCCAAGTGGGATGGGTTCTATGAGAGTAACACACACGATGCCATTGGTGGGAGGGGAGCAGGGCATTTCCTAGGTGGGCACAAGCGGGGAGACCCCACAAAGGAGGACCTTTTTGGCAGGCATCCTGCTTCCAATGCCCCAACCCCAGGGGTTCTTTGCTGCAAACCTCAGAGCCGTGATGCACAGCCCCTGTCGTATCTGATCTCACACACATAGCACCTGCTATGTGCCAGGCCCCTTCTCAGTGTTTTCCAAATAACAGTTCAGGCACTCCTCCACTAACAGCCCAACGGGTGGACACTATCAGCATCCCCGTTTGCCACATGAGGAAACCGAGGCACAAAAATATTAAGTAATCTGCCCAAGACTGTAAGACAGAATCTGGATCTGAGCGCGTTTTCTTGCTCTAGAGTCCACCCCTACACTCAAGATTTACAGGTACAAGAAGGCTTCAAGAGGAAATGTGTGTACCATGAAGAATGAACAGGAAAGGAATAAAACACTATATTCGATCACGGCTAATGAAGCTTGTAAGCTGTGCGACCTCAGGTGACCTCTGTGCCTCTGGGCCTCCATTTCTTCATTTACAGCATGAGGGAGCAAGCCCCCACAGGCTCCAAGGTGTCTCCAGCTGTAAAGCCTGTGGGTTTTACCAGGCAGAAGTTGGGGAGAGAGAGGAAGTGAGAAAGAGATTCCAGGAATAGGCAAGTTTCAAAGACATACAAATGAAAGCAGAAGGTAAGTTCAAGAGTTGGAACAATTAGGGCCAGCCGAGTGACGCATTGGTTAAGAGCTAGCTTGGGACCCCGGTTCGGATCACACATATAAGGGTCAGTGACGCTGCCCTCTACAGCTAAGATGGTGAACAACAGCTCGACCTGGAGCTGGGCTGCTGTGAGTCGCTGGCGATGGGGCTGCAATGGGCTGCCATAAGCTACCGTGAGTGGCTGCCAGCCAGCATGAGAGGCCGTACAACGGCCGGCGAGCGACTGCCTCACCCGGGAAGAGCGCAATGATAATACCAACATGGGCCAGTGAAGCGACATCCTCCACAACTAGACTGAAGAACAAAAGGACA